TTTCTTCAGAGAGATTTGGGATTTTTGGGGTTTTGCTCTTGGGTAGGTCTAGATCTTGATCTTGTAAGCTTCATGTAAGCTTGTTCATTTCATTTTCTACTTATATCCTTTATTCATGGCACCTAAGACAGGGTGGAAAATCTAAGACTTCCTTTTACAACAAAAAATTTGTTAGTGCAAAAGCCAAAGAGTGATATATCGAAATTTTTGGTATCAAGACAGTTTATTCCGAAGAGAGGATTCTTCCTGCCGGGGGGAGGAGTTGAGGGAGTAATTTTTGCTCGAGATTGGGATCATTTGTGCTATGAGACCCATGTTGCGGTGATTCTTATGGTTCGGGAATTTTTCGCTAATTTGAATGAATCCCAAAATGACAAGGTTTTTGTTAGGGGTAAAACTGTTGATTTCTCCGAGAAAGACAATGCATTTTTCATTCTTCCTAACTTGCCTAATGATACTACTCTAATTTCAGACCTTTTTACCAAGAGTTAGCTGAAATCATTAGGTATTTTACTGATGGGAGGGGTGAGTGGAAAATTAGAGAGGAGAAAAAAAAAAGATTTTCCTGCTACTACTTTGAATGCTGAGTCCAAGGCTTGGCACCATTTCATTTCAACATAACTTCTTCCCTCCACTAATTTGAGCGAAGTTACCCAAGAGCGAGCCATAATGAAGTATTGTATCAAAATGGGTAAGTCGATTGAATGGTGAGTGGAAAATTAGAGAGGAGAGAAAAAAATATGTTTTTCTAATGCTACTTTGAATGTTGAGTCTAAGGTTTGGCACCATTTTTTTTCAGCAAAACTTCTTCCCTCCACTAATTTGAGCAAAATTACCCGAGAGTGAGCCATTATGAACTATTGTATCTAAACACATAAGTCAATTGATGTTGGGTCTGTCAACAACCTTTCAATCTATTACACGTTGAAAGGTGGATCTACCATAGGTTTGGGACACCCTTCTACCATCTTTTTTCTGTGTTTTACTACTGGATTTGAGTATGATAGCTGTGAGAAATAGTTACCTGCCCTTAAGTCTTTCACAAAGAGGAATATAGGGTTGTACAACATATTGTTCTCTTCATTATTTGAGCGGAGTAAGAGTTCTGCTTGTCCTTCTTCTTCTTTTAAATCTCGCCCCTCTGCTTCCATTACCTCTATCTTTGAGCATCTCAACACTCTTGTTGAGGATACTTCTATTATTTTGTCAGGGTTGTATGATTTGATGAATTCGTACTTGAAACTATTTGCCCCTCATAGTAGTTAGAAACTTAATTTTTGAAATTTTTTTTATTGGAATAATGAGGGTAATAGATGAGGGATGCTTCAATTTCAAATTTTGAGAATATTTGAATAGTGTCATATATTTCTCAGAAAGTTAAACTTAATGAGTTGACATCTAAACATCAATTTTTAACATATGCTTTCTTTATATCTTTATAATCAATTCTAGGTCATTTAGGGTCCATTTGGGATGGCGGTGTGGTGGGCACCGCATTGTAATTTTGTTTGTTTGGGTAAACTACATTTTGACAGCTTTTTGAAAAAACTGCCACTGAAATTTACGTTTTCTCACTAATCTTGGATGAGTGCGGTGACAACTTTTTAGTTGCGGTCTGAATTTAAAAAAAAAATTGTAATAGCCACCACAACTCTTTGAGCATCAGATTATTTTTTTAGCAGCTTCAAAACTATTTTTTAATATGTTGTAGCTGCCCCAAACATACCCTTAGATATAGATTAACTAATTCTAAACAGATACAAAATTTTTAAAAGTTTAGACTTTATTTAACCAGTATAGAATCGGGTTAGTAACCATTTTGTAAGTCAGAAAGTATTGAATTGGGTTTGGGGTGTAATGAAATTTAATTTGTGAAGGGAGCTTGGAATCCAAAATCTTTTAAGAGCTAATCTAGATATAGTAATCCCAGACGATGGATATAAAAAAAGGGGTCTTCGAAAGGAAAAATCAAAATGAAAAGAATTCAAATTCAAAGGCTCAGAATCGAAAAGAAGATAAAAATATATAATGAACCTTTGGGAAAAAGCTTGAGGAGAAGCTTTATTTAAGTTTTTTTTTCAATTTCTTTTCTAAAAATTAAAAATTCATTAACACCTCTAACTAAAATTAAATTTTATGCTTATAAAGTGAAAAGTAGATCAAACTGAATGAATTAAGTAGATGACTGAGTTCTTAAGATTGTTATATGTATTTATTAATTGAGCTTTATACATGTGACCTAGGTTGAATATAATGATTTACATAGTTTATGATAAATTAGGGACTTTAGGGTTTAGCTCTGCAAATTTAATTTGATGGAGATATAATGTTTCATTCATATTCATATAAACTTAAAATTGAAATAGTATTTGATTGTTAACCATTAATCATAACTATAAGCATTGCTAATGCATTAAATTTAGGATTTTAGATTTACTTGAGGGCAAGTAATCTTTGAGTTTGGGATGATTTTAACATGCATAAGAATTGTGCTTTATTGTTGTTTTATCCCTATAATTTTATATGCTTATTTCCAGTTTGTTGGAAGGTTTTTAGTGTTGTTTTGCAGGATTCAGGCAAAGAGGTTGATCGGAGCTTGAAACATCGTCAAATGGAGCAAAGTAGCTGACTAGTGCGAGGACTGGGCGCCTAGGCACCTGATGTAGGTCAGTCTCCTGTGATTTTTGCCAAACAGACAGAGAACTTTGAATGTAGCTGCCAGGAGCCTGGAAAGTAAGCACTAGCTTACTAGCACCTAAGCGTTAGTACTGGGCGCATAGGCACCCAAAGCAGGCTAGATCCGAGCATGAGACTGAACTGCTGGAAAGTAGTCCCGCGACTGCAATGAGTAGGCGCTACACCTGCATCCCCTAGGTGCTGCCTTTGGGCGTTTGGCGCCCAATGTCCTAGTTCTAGATTATGTAACCAGCACCTAGGCGCAAATTTGCGGCACTGGTTTACTTAGATTGGTTGTTTCTACAGTTGGGATGTGTCTCTTCGTAGGGAGAGGTATCGGAATGCTGGAAGTGAAGTAAGAAGGGCATTTTCTGCATTTTGAAGCTTGGAGCATTGAAGAGGAAGACCAAAGAGGCTTTGTATGGAGTTTTGAAGTGAATGAAAGAGAGATTCGAGAGGATCAAGAGATTTATTCACTACTTGTTTTCAATTCTACCATCTTGCTTTCTAAAAGAAAGAGAAGTGCATTTTTAGTTTGGATTTCATCTGAATTTCTGTGAAAATTTTGTGTACGATTTCAAATGTTTAATTCAACAAAGTTTGATGTGATGGTTTTTATAATGAAGAGTGAGTAGATCCTTTATTTCTTCTTTGAATTGAATAGTGGTAGAATATAATTGAAATTATTTATGTGATTCACATGTGAATTGTTGTAATAGTGTTGAGTTGCTTCATTTACTTTCTACCTGGCCAGTAGGAATGTTAATATCCTTGATGAACTTTGAAATCTGGAAGGATATTTTGTAGAACGAAAGAAGTTAACCACATGAACTCATTGGAATAGAAACATTATCCTTGAGTTTATAATAACATTTAGGCAGAAGGTATCTTACTAGTTTGATCAAGAGATTTAGGGAACTAAACTCTTGATAGCCGAATTTCCTTAGACTTCCAAAAGGAGACAAGGAAAAGGATAGCTCATGTTTGATACTATATTCTCCATCAGAACAATTCAAGGGGGAAACTTCTCTAAACTTGAATTTTCTTTGGCTTGTGAAGTTAAACTTGTTTTAGGATTTTTCTTTTGGGATTCATCTCACTCCCTGTGGGATCGATTCCTGGAACTCTATTCTGGATACTACTAATACGAAACGTATAGTCGCCAGTGCTTCAACGCACGTGGTTCATATCATATAACGCCACCCAGTATGCACCAAGCTGTTGGTACTTTGCCATCGCCTGATGAGAGCAATGTGTCACTTACATCGTCTGAGTCGAATCGACTCTTTCGTATGAGGAACCTCAATCTTACCTAATTTAATTTTTTTTAGGGAGCCCCTTTCTTTACGTTATCTCTTGTTGTAGCTGTTTCAGTTTCGATAATCTTGGATGATGACTTGCCTCCGACAAGTGTTAGTGAGAACCCGCCTGAGGTGCTTGCCCAAGCGCTAGTTGAGGGCGCCCGACTCTTGAGCGAGGATGTTGGGATTAACCGCCCAGACAATCCTCTTGAGACCCACGGGGATACAACTGATGGACGTCGGATGTCTCCTGGGTTGTTCGCTCACCGCTGGGACGAGATAAAAAACTCCTTCGCTTAGTTGGTCGAGATCTATCAAGGCGAGGAGAAACACGAGCTGCCCTCGTGTGGATAAATTGGAGAGGATGTAGGGGGAGATAGCATAGCCACTCTTCGCCAGGAACTGTCGAACTTTCGAGAGAGATCCCTCATACACCAGGCCTTAGTCGAGACGAATCGGTTGAACCAGTAGAGGTTTGGGGGGATGTTTTGTATGAGAGGCTGTTGCAGCAGGGGTATGTCTTGGCCAAAGAGGCTACCGACCCTCTTGTTAACTATTTCCTCTCGGGCTTAGTTTCAAACGTTACTTGTAATTTGTAATGCCCATTTTCAAAATAAAATTTATCTTTTCATCTTGATTCTTATGTTGATGTGATCCTCTGTCATCACATTTTCAAAATTTCAGTATAGTTTCGCTTTTACCCCTATGTGATGACTCTGCTTCTCTGTCACCATGTTTTTTAAATAATGATTTTATATATTTCATATTTGAAACTCTTTATGTTAATATAAATTCATAAAAAAAAAAAAGAATGAAAGGCAAATAACTTCAATTTTTGTTGGTTTTGTCATGCAAGTTTTCTGTTTTCTAAGTTGAGTTATATGCAAGTCATTTTATCTTCTAGTAGCTTGATTTGTTGGTTTAGTACATGTCATGCTTATCTTACTTGCATGCTAAAAATGCTTGCTATTCTCCGTAAACTTCAAAGTTCCTTGCTCTGATTTTGCACTTATGTGATGTTAGGATTTCCCTAACAATGTTACCCGCTTTATGATCTTGGCCAGAAATCCTATAATTCCAAGAATTGACAGACCATTTAAGGTACTGAAATAGTATTTCTATTTAGTTGTCTTTTTATCAAGGGCCATTCACATACATACCCCACAATTCTTATATATTTACATATCGAACACCTAAACTTTGACATTTACACGCATAGCTAGCACTCAAGTCTTCAATATCACATCAAAAGTACCACTTTTACTAACTTTTTAGAAGTGAAATATACATTCTCATGCATAGATTATGACACCAAAGTCTTATAAATTATAAATGTGATATGTAATACGTAATAATTATGTGGTATGTATGCAAATTTCTCTTTATTAGATGAGTTTTTTTAGCCAGTGTTTTCCTTTTCGTAGACTAGCATTGCCTTCACTCTTGAAGAAGGTCCTGGAATGCTGTTTAAAGTCTTAGCAGTTTTTGCTTTGCGGAATATAAATCTCTCAAAGGTCCTCCATAACAAAACATTTTTCTGCTAATTTTTATTTCTTTTTTTCTTCCCAAACAAATATTTTAACTCCTTCAAACTGCTGCTACAGATTGAAAGCAGACCACAAAAAACACTCCCTTTAAGAGTGGTTGATGATTCAAAGCGCACGTAATTTTTTCTTTTCATTTTTGGAAAAGTTCTCTTACCATACGAAAAAGCTTTTTTTTTTATTTATATATAAGATGATGTGTATTATTCTATGAAATAATTAATATTTTCCCCAGGTGTTTTAATTATCTGTTCCATGTTGACTTTGAAGCATCTTTGGCTGATCTTCGTGTTAAGAATGCCTTGTCTCATCTACAGGTTAGCATTTTGTTTAGAGTTTTTTCTGCGTTTAACACATGATTGTCAAAATATTACATGATAACTTTTTTATAGCCACCTCACTTCAATATAATTTACTATAAAAAACAGCTTCTCATAGCAAAACTTTTTGAGAAGCAGCATGAAACTATACCAAACTAAAGTGTGGCAGTGACCTTGAAAAAAAAAAAAGAAGTGAGAAAGCTACCCCAAACAAACCATTCTTTTTGAATCCAAGCATTATATGTAAACACTTTTATTTCCTTTTCCAACTCCCGTTATGGTGCCCAACTATCAAGAAATTATTGCATCAGGACACCAGATGTAAATTTGCATCAAGTATCCAATTAAAATTGATCACATCAAAATTTAGACCCAACTGAAATACACTGATTTGTTGTTTTTTAAAAGTGTGGGACCCATCCTAACACATGATCAATTTTAATTGGACACCTGATGTAATTATTTTTTCCCAACTATTGCATAATTTTTTATATCCATCCTCTAAAGCTTTCATTTATGGGAGTACATTAAATATCTTGACCTCTCAAATATCTGAAATGAGTCTATGATTGCTATTGTTCCTGCTTACAATACTAGCCTAAGAGAGCAATGTTTTTTGCACTGCTGCTCTTTTGGATGATGGGAACAGAAAAAAACTGAAAGTTATAGGGGGCTAGATGTAAAAATGCTACCATTTGTTTTCTTCCTCTGCCTGAACAAAAAAAATTACTCCTTTTATCTCTTTTCAAAGGGGTGCCCTAAAAGCTTTTATCTTGAAAACTTTCACGCAGGAGTATGTTTCCTTTTGCCGAGTTCTTGGTTCATATCCAAGGGATACCTTCGCTCTGTAACTATTCTGGGAGAATCCTGTACGTTTCTATTGCCTTTGAGAATTTAACGTCCAAAAATTTCAGTTTTTGAAAGGTTTTGGTCTCTAGTTCTTTTATTATTATTATTATTATTGATTTTAGGAAAATATTCAATAATGTTCCACAAGGAGGATTAGCAGTAAGAGCTTTAGTTTTATTTATTTATTTATTTATTTTTCATTTTGGCATTTTTTTTTTCTCTGAAGGCTGCTATTAAAGTTGTGTAGTATTTTCAGCCTAATTATAGCTTTATATGATTCAAATTTAATTGTCCATATTTGTTTTTTTATTGCATTGTATTTTATGCCTTTTTTTTTTATTTTTATCATCAAATTTGGACTATAATCTGCCATATATACCTGGATTCTTTTGTCATCGAGGGTACTTGAACCAATAATTAAATAAGAAAAAAAAAAAAGAAAAACTTGCATCAAAGAATCTTTTCACGGTTTCGTAAACAATTGATCTATTCACGGTTCCTTGCCACTTGCATCAAAGAATCTTAGATTATTTGTTCAATCTTTGATCACGTAGCTCCTTGGATTGTTTATCACAATCAAACCACAATTTAATTACAAATTAAAAGATGTCTTTATGTGGAAGATAGAGAGATTCAACATAAAAAATAGTATTACAAGAGCTCGCGCCAGCTTTGTTTGATAGAACTTATGATTAATTTTTAAATCCATATTTAAGGGGCTAATGGTGGACATAACCTAAAGAGGAACTCTCATAATTTTGAAAATAAAACTAAAATATGACGGGCATTATTTCTGTAGGGCTCTCTTGAATCCTTGAGCTCTGATTTCTCAAAGAACTCCAACAATAAGGAGTGTTGGGGATACAAAAACTACCAAGAAGCCCCTACGCCGCTTTAGGGCAGAAAATTCCCTCTACGAGGTTTCGGGAATGAGGGTGCTGCGGCTTCGAGCGGGGCAATGGGGGAAATAATAATCGCGAACGTGGGCCGCGGGGCCGATCCCGCTGCTAGCTTTCCGCCTACTTCAGCGGCCAATAACTGCAAACGTTGAGCGAAAGCGAAAACATAGGCGCTTCGCGCTTCGCGGTTTGGCGGTTTGGGGCCGAGCCGCTCGAAAAAGCGAACCCAAACAGAGGTATTATTTGATTTTTGAATTTTTAGTACCAGACTCTCATTATCAAATTTATGTCATTTATCAGTCAAACTTTAAAATACGAGCGTTTATTTCATCAGAACACCGGTAGCAAATTTACGTCTGGAGTCCAGTGAGCACTTGTCATGTGGCAAGTATGTCCCACTGTAATACTGGTTGGGTAAGTTTTTTAGAGTGATGAACCCCCACTTGCCACGTGGCACATGATCACTGGACTCCGGACACAAATTTTGCGTCTGCTCTCTCCTGATGAAATAATTTTTCTTAAAATACACCCTTCATGTGAAAATTCCTTGGCTACTCCACTCCCGAACAATTTTGATTTTGCATATTATATATAATTAATCACCACTTCTGCATATTTTTCTCATAATGCTTGTCAAATCAATTATTGTGACACTCAATCATTTATTTTGAAGGTAAATCAACATAAGATTAAGATATTTACTATTTTTTCTTAATTGCCTCAAGCGCGAATTAAAATCAAGGGTGTTTTCTATGAAATAGTTCGGCTTAGTGCTATAAATGAACCAATGTACTTGATAGAACAATTTGAACTCGGTTCAGTTAAGGCATAAGCATATTCATTCAAATTAATAAATAAATAAGTTTGAAAAATTTTTAAAAGTTCGAAGCTTAAATGAACTAACATAAATATAGTCAAACATGTTCATTTATGTTCATGAATAAACTCATTCTTTGTTCAACAAGTAATTTGTTAAATATTCAATATTAAACTCGATGATAGCTCGTATGATATATGAAATTATTAGTTAAATAAAACTTAATTAAATAGAATATTAATTTGTTTGTTGATAGCGCGATGATAATTTATATTATATATGATATATAAATACTTGATATTAAGTTTTTGTAGGTCTTTAAGTTGTAAGTTTTAGTTGTTTGGAAGGATTTAAGTTAAATTATGCGTAAATGCTAAACAAATTATTCTATTAAACATCTCCTAAGTGAGGGATTTCAGGCAAAAGAGGAGATATGAGATTTAAGATATTGTAAGGCTTAGATTTTATAATCAATAAATTAATAGCTGCGACCAAATTTGTAAAATTATTTTATTAACTTTTTTTAATGAAAATTTAGATACTCATTTGAATTTTTAACTAGTTTAAATACCAGTTCACTTGTGATAAATAATTTAAGTACAAATTAAGTCCGAACAGTGAAAAATTTAAACAAGTCAAGCTTGAACAATATATGAAAGCTTGACACAAGCTCAAGCCGAACATGAACACTTTATAATTATACCAAGCTAAGCCCGAACTATGATATGCTCGGCTCGATTACAACCCTAGCTCAGCTTAGCTTTTTATTTACAAAAAAAAGTCTACTCTTTGTACTAATAGTATTGTGGGGGCGTAAAAAAATATTAAGCGTGGAGTCTTGATATCTTCGGATATGCACAAAATATAACGAGTACTATCATTACATATATAACGTGTCTACTGAATACAATGTTGTACTCATTTTTCTTTTTTGCCGCTTTAGATATACTTCTACGTTTAAACTTCGCACGTAATATTTTATATTACTGGAGAGTGGTTGATATGTATAATTTTACTTTTGTATTTATGGAGTTCATTTTTTACGACTTAAAATTTAGAATTTTAATACAATATGAGGCAATTTCATCATTGCTCTAGCGGTCATCCCTCTTTAGTATATTTTTTATATACTATATTTATGGTTAAAAAAAAACTATTTCTTTATATATCTTGTAATTTTCATGAAAATAACTGGATTAAGATATTATGATTAAATTGTTAATTAACATAAACTTTAAAAAGTCTTTAAATTTGTTTTGTGAAGGGTGCAATATAGATTACTTAGATATTGCACCCATCTCAAAGCATATAAAAAGGTTTTAAAGTCCAACCTAATCTTTTAATGAGAATATATAAACTTTGATCTAGATATAATATTTCATCAAATGTATAAAAAAGTATTTTAGCAAATGTAAGTATTTTCATTCTAAATATAATATTTTTTTAGCTAAATATAAGGATAGCCTCATGGGATATAATAACTATCATAAAGTATCAGATAGTTCATAGAGAGTTAGAAGGGTTCGATCTTGATATTTTCTATTTATAGATTTGGATTGACTTGGGTTTGTTATATATGTATACTTCACTAGAACAAAATGAATATATGGGATAAATAGTGTTTAAGTCTTTTTAAAATAATTAAAAATGCTAAAACATATCAAATATATTTTATTTTAAATAAAAATAAAAATAAAAATAAAAAATGATCCCAAGCGGCTCCTTAAAAGGGGTGTAAACGAGCCAGCCCCAGCCACAAGCTCCTTCGTTTCGGGCTAGTTTATATTTCGAGCTCGAAAAGTGTGTTCATGTTCGACTCGTTTGCTTAGCGAGCCGAACACGAGACATTCACGAACAAAGAGTCGTTTTGACAACCCTAGGCATAAGATGTTAAGTAATGGGGCAAGATTTAAAAATTATTGTTTATATTAAAACATCATTTGAATCTAATTTAATAATTTTTATTCTATTTTTTTAATTGATACTTTTAATTGATTATAAATTTTTGTAGCCTTATAGACAATTAAAATTTTTAAAAATACTA